TGCAATATTGACAAAATAGTTAAAAAAAAGTTTCTTGGAACTTAGGGTCCGTTTGATTATAAGGGTAGAAAATGGGTAGAAAGAAAATGAATTTCAGGGAAAGTAATTGCCTATAAATTGTTTTTCAGGGAATTGTTAATTAAGTGTGTTTGATTTGTATAATTTTCCACCCGAATTTTTTTTGANACCTTTTAGATGGGAAAATGAATTCACTGATTTTGGGGAACTCAGGCGCGTGAGTGGGTGGGTAGCAAAACTTTTTCCAAGCCAAATTTTGGCTATCAAACATTACAAATGGGTGGAAATGGAATTGTTTTTCCATTTTTCATGGAAAAAGTAAGGTATCAAACATGGCCTTAGTTTTAAGATTTTTCTTAGGAATGAAAATATGATGAGTCTAGAACGGGGGCAACCATTATCATCCCAGTCCTATTTGGAATTTCGGGAAACGGAATGGAGATGAATGGTAGTGGAGCGGGGAGGGATTCAAAATTTACTCATTTATGCCCAATTTAATTAATTAATTAACATTCAAATATATATTCATTTATTAAATTATGATTTAAATTTAAAAAATAAAAATAAAACAAAATAATTTGAGGCAAGTTAGGGGATATTTGGGCGAGACCATGATTCTCATTCCATCCCATTTACTATTTGGAGCGAAGGACAATCCAAGGGTAGGTCAGGGCGAAAAGTTTTCTCATCACTAATTTTATTCTTTAAGTAAAAGAACATATCACTTCTACAGAGTTTATTGTAGATGTTATTGTTGACCTCAATTTTTGCATAGACGAAGACATGAAGTGGTCAACAGATCTCGACACCACTCACATCCATGTAGTATATCTCCCGCACACTTATTAAATTTTATTTATTTATTAAATTATGATTTAAATTTAAAAAATAAAAATAAAACAAAATAATTTGAGGCAAGTTCGGGGATTTTTGGGCGAGACCATGATTCTCATCCCATCACATTTACTATTTAGAGCGAAGGACAATCCAAAGGTACGTCAGAGCGAACTTTTTTCTCATCGCTAATTTTATTCTTAAGTAAAAGAATATATCACTTCTGCAGAGTTTATTGTAGATGTTATCGTTGACCTCAATTTATGCATGGATGAAATGTTCAACGGATATTGACTCTACTCACATCCATGTGGTATATCTCCCACACACTTAGATAAATCATTAGAAGAACGTGGCCTGTTTCGGAGGTGGAGGAGGCAGGTGCGAGCACTCCAATGGTCAAATCATTCAACTTGTATAGGTAAATTTGGGAGCGACAAGAATGGAAGATATGAGCCACAATTGTGTAAGAGCAACATGTGTCTAGAGTATAGAGAGAAGAATAATGTAAGCAATATTACTATCTAAAATGTAAAATTTCATTACTTTCAAATGATACTAAATGTGATTTTTTACAATAGAAAATGAGAAATAATTACTGATGGAAGAAAAAACATGTGGCCTCATCCGACGATCGAGACGTCTTCTTATCGATGTCTCTCCATCAGTTATGGGTTCAGAGGCATTTAATGTTTGTAAAAAGTAGTTACCATATAGCCTAAGTTTGATATCTGAAAAAGTAGACTAACAAATTTACTGAGACGTGTGCTGCAAGGTTGTCGCACAATCATATGAAGATCTTGTATGAAAAATCTCTTGAAATATGTGAAGTAAGAGATGCATTTTTACATTAAAAGATTAATTGCTTAGAATTTACTCTGTAGCAGGGTATAGTGCCTCGCATAGACCGTGTAAGGTCAACCTCTACATGACATCTCGATTGAGGCGATGCATCACATCGACTATCTTAGTCAAGGTTCTAAAATGCGTAATGCATTTCGATCGAGAATCAAGCATTACAAGAATATGTGTGCCTATGCGAAGTATATTTGTAATTATACATTTTTCAATTTTTAATATTTTAAATTAATTAATTAATAAAATAATGTATTCATTAAACTTTATACATATTTTTCAATTTTTTTTTTTTTTAAAAAAAAGCTCAAAATCTAAAATACTACAATTACTTGAACTTTATATATATTCTTCAAATTTTAACAAAAATTGCTCAATATAATAAATACTACAATTACTTGGTAATCAATTCCTACAATTAAATTAGACACTGATAAGTGCATTTTGTATACTTATTTGGGTCATATTACTAAACTTTTTATGTCGTTAAAGTATTGAATTTTACTTAACTTGATTTAATTTTATATTGTTTCAGTTTTTGACATGTCCACAAGCAGTTGGAAAAGAAATGGGGATGAATTGATGATTGGATGGAAGGTTTGGGATTAATGTGCACATGGGAATAAGTTGAACGACGAAAATAAAATTAATTTAAAGTGGAGGATCAAAATCGAGGAAATAATGAAGAATATAACTAAATTGCAAATTTTGAAAATAATTTTAACTTGGGCGGCCACCCAGTTACATGGACGGGCAGCCGCTCGGTGTTGGAAAACAAAAACAGAGGAAAAAATTGGTGTCGGCGGCCACATGACTTTATACTGGGCGCCCGCCAAGGCAAGCACGCTCATAAACTTTTTTTCGTTGTGAATTTTATTTCAATCGGGTTTCTTCCTTTTGGGCCATTATTTGTACGAATTCTAGAGAATTTTGGAACCTCTTGAAGAGTACTATGCATACCAACTATCAATACATAATTAAGGTAGATAATTAATTGCAAAAAGGACGCATTAGAACTCATTGGAGAGCATAGAATATAACAAGAAATATCAAGAGAGATTACAAGGCATCAAGATTCAATCAAATTTCATAATTTGGGTGATGTCTACTCTATATAATTCTTGTTTTCTTCTCAATATCACGTTAGACTAAATTTCTTTGCACTAGGAGAACAATGAACCTTATAATATGAGTTTTTAATCTTTAGTTTTTACATATTTGACATTGAAAGCACGTTTTTGAATTTTGAACGATTTACATGATTATATTTTCTCTATAATTATTGTACATGATAGTCGTATGAATTTGGTGACTTATTATATGCATTTGAAAGAAGGAAACTAAACTCAACATAGTGTAATATGTCGCAGGTCCGATAAGTGATAGAAATATACCGCTATACTCTATATGAATTTTTAAACGTTCATAAAATTCATGAATTCTCGTATCTTCGCATCCGTCATAGAAATATCGTCGGATCATAGATGAAAGTATGTTTAACATTACTCGAGAGAGATTGTTGAATACAATAGGGATATTGATTCTTCAAAATTCCATCGTATTGTTAAAATATAAAACTAAGGTTAAATAAAGATTATTACATGGAAATTCTAGATCCTGGTGTGCTTATCATCCATCAAAACACATCAACTTGCATTCAAAGTAAATAGCATTTAGTTTATTTAATTTACTCATAATTGCATAAGTAGATTATTTTAGTTAGAACTTCGTCACAAATAAACACATCACATTATTATTGTTTCAGTTAATGTCGCGATAATTAAAATTGAATTAA